AATACCTAAGTTTTTCCAAATCTTTAGTATAAAATCGATCCTGTAAGAATATTTTTAACTTGGCAATCCCCTCAGAATCATTTTCAGTAATCACAAATCATCTAGATAGATTACCAATAAGACATATCTAGCATTTGTCTGTCTATGAAACACAGAATGGTTTGTCTGACATCGAAGAAGACCAAACTCTAAAACTGCATCTGAAAATTTACCAAACTATGCCTTTAATGACTGCTTCAAACCATACAAAGATTTCTTTAACCGCATACACTCCTACCATACTCCCCCTGAGCAGTAAACTCAGGTGGCTAATCCATATATACCTCTTCAACCAAGTCACCATGTAAGAAGACATTCTTGACATCTAACTGAAACAAGGGTCTATCAAGATTAGCAGTCAAAGAAATCAATATACGAACAAAGGAAATTTTGGCAACAGAGAAAAAAGTTTTCTTATAATCAAACACCATAAGTCTGAGTAAAGCCCTTTGCAACAAACCGGGCTTTGAGACGCTCCACAGAACCATCTGGATGAAATTTAACAGTATACACTCAACGACAACCACAGTTCGTTTACCAGGAGGTAAAGGAATGAGATCCCAAGTCCCATTATGATGTAAGGCATCCATCTTCTCCTCCATAACTTTTCTCTAACCCGGATCAGATAATGCATCCTGTACATGCTTAGAAATAGATATAACAGATAATTGGGAAGTAAAACAAGAGAAGGCAGGAGATAAGGCATCATATGAAATAAAATAAGAAATGAGATGATTAGTAACACACAAACGAGTACCTTTGCAAAGAGCAATAGGTAAAGAGTCTAAATTACCTGATGTACCAGGATCAGAAGGTGGCAAGGAAGACGGTATAGGCACCTCAGTCGATGGGCGAGGACGGCGAGAGCAGACACAGAGAGGTAAAGTAGATGGTAACACAATGGGCAGCGGGATATCTGAAGATGAGGAAAGAGATGGTGATACAAGAGATGACCCAAAGTCCAGATCTAAAGGCTGAGAAGGTGCTAAAAAATATGGTATAGATTCTTCAAATGTGATATCGACACTAGTGAAGTATTGGTGCAGAGAAGGACTGTAGCAACGATATCCCTTCTACGTGCGGGAGTAACCAAGAAATACACATTTAGTAGTTCGAGGGTCAAGTTTGTCAAATTCAGGACCCAAATTATGAATATAACAAATACATCCAAAAATCTTAGGAGTCAGAAAAAAAGGGCTTATTAGGAAAAAGGATAGAATACGGACTTTGTCCATTTAACACAGAGGATGATATACGATTAATAAGGTGACAAGCAGTACGAACAACAGTACTCCAAAAATATCGGAGAATATTCATTTGAAATAATAGGGTACGGGTGACTTCCAACAAATGACGGTTCTTGCGTTCAGTAACACCGTTCTGTGGAGATGTGTAAGCACAAGAAGTCTGATGAATAATGCCAACTTTATTAAGATAAGCTGAAAAAAGATCTGATTCATATTCCCGAGCATTATCAGAACGTAAAATATGGATACGACAACCATACTGAGTTTTTATTTCCTTACGAAAGGTCTCAAATATAGAGAATAATTATGACCGAGCTTTCATCAGAAACAACCAAGTCACACGAGAATAGTCATCCACAAATGATACAAAATAAGGATATTTATTAGATGAAATATTCTTTATTGGATCCCTTACATCAGAATGTACCAATTCAAATGGACTAGACACATGATTATTGACTCGAGACTGAAATGGCACACGATGATGCTTACTAAGTTGACACGCTTCACAAGACAAAGACGGCATAGAACTAAGACTAGGAACTTGATGTTTCAGATTTTGGAGAGAAGGATGTCCAAGACGACAATGCCACTGAAAAGGAGACAACGAGGTCTGTAGAGTCCGAGTAGGTGAATTAAAATCAAAGTAATATAGGCCACCAGTTTCATACCCCGTACCAATATTCCTCTTCGTCTTAAGATCCTGAAAGACACAATAAGAAGGATAAAAAAATTACAGAACAATTGAGATAACGGGTATTCTTGCTAATGGAAAGTAAACTAAAAAGAAACTGAAGAATAAATAATACGGAAGATAGGGATATATCAGGACTCAAGTTAGTAGTCGCCAAACCTGAAACTTTAGAACAAGTGCCATTAGCAAGAGTAACACTATGTGTAGAATGAGCAGACTGATAAGTAGAAAAAATATCGGATGCACTAGTCATGTGATCAGAAGTGCCAGAGTCTATGATCCAGGGATTGCGATTGTAGGACAATAAACAAGTGGAAGCAATACCTAACTGAGCAAAAATAGTAGTGGAGTAAGATGGAACAACCTGTTGTTGAGATAGGAACTGGGCATACTCCTTTCGAGTAATAGTAACTAATCCAGTGTCTTTCTTGGGTTCCATAACAGTGCAGCAAATAGCAAACAAGAAGTGTTGCAATGCCAAACCAGAAGAAAAAGAGAATGCTGGACCACTGAACCGGGCCTGTTAAGGCTGCTAGAATACTAAACCAGTCTGGAAAACTGGTCAGAACCACTGAACCGGGCCTATTAAGGCTGCGGGAGCCCTGAACCGGACTGGAAAACTGGCTTAGACTGTTGAATCGGGCCTGTTAAGGCTGCTGGAATACTGAACTAGTTTGGAAAACCGGCTTGAACCACTGAACTGGGTCTGTTAAGGCTGCGGGAGCCCTGAGCCGGATTGGAAAATCGGCTTGGACCACTGAACCGGCCTTGCTAAGGCCACTGGAAGCTTGAATCGGACTAGTTTAGTCCTCTTGATCACTGAACCGGCCTTGCTTATGCTACTGGAAGCTTGCACCGTACTGGTTTAGCCCTCTGGACCGCTAAATCGGAGTAAAACCGATCTGAACCGGACTGGTTTAGCCCTCTAGACCGCTGAACCGGAGTAAAATCAGTCTGAACCAGACGGGTTGGAGCTAAACTGGACTGGTTAGGGCTAAATCGGGTTGGACCGAAGTGGGTTGGACCCGATCGAATTGGGCTGGGCTAAACCAATTTAAATCTGTTGGAGCTAAACCGAGTCTGGACCTTTTTCTGGGTCTGGACCCTTTCTTCGTCGAATAGGGTTATTGTAACCCTAGTCTTCGACTGTGCCACCACAATCAATCACGATTGCTACACAAACCACCACAGACCACGCCTCCAACAACGATGAACCACCACAGCCACAAGACAATAGCCACCACAGACTACGCCGACGATGAACCACCACACAGCCACCATAGACCACGCAATCACAACAACCACCACAGACCACGCCTCACCACCAACGATGAACCACCACAACAGCCACCACAAACCACAGCCACACCACCACGATGAACAATACAACACCACCACAATAGTAGCACAAACAGAGCACCACCACCACGCTTCGACAAACACAGGCACCACGATAGTACCACAAATAAATAAATTTATTCAGAATATATTTATGATCGTAATTGCTCTGATACTATGTTAAGTGTGGAGAATTAACACAATATTAGAGAGAACAGAAAGAAGTTAAAACTTTTTAAGCTAGCTCTCATACATCACTTATATATATAGTTAAACTATAATAATAAGAATTACATATACATCTTCTTACTATTATCAATTTACACATACTACCCTATTATTCTTAACACATTTTCTACACTACGTAGTATAAACATTGGAAATAAATCTATGCTATTGCATAAACACACACACATGATCGCAACCAAAAAGTGAAACTTATAAGCCGCGTAAAGCAAGCAAAAAATATAAAAATAATCACACATTCCACATTCCACATTCCACATACCAAGAGGATAGTAGAAAACCAAATTTTAAGGGATAAAACCTCACATAGTAATTGGGGTTATAACAAGAAGAGAAATCCATTAATTATCCTAACGAACAAAAATTGGATAATGTTTCTTTATGTAGGTTAATCTCATTAATAACAAAGATTGTCCATTAGAAAACCTCACATAGCCAGAAGCAATTGGCTCAATAAGACACTTGTTTAACTGAGACATAACTTAAATTGGTTGGTCCCCAGTGTACATGGGTTAGACATACATCTCAATAAAAAAAGATATACAAATGACATAAATCAATCAAAAGAAGATACAAATGGTCCAAGAATCATGAGGGTACCGCAATAACCATATAAGTTGTGCCATTGCCATTGCTACCAATAACACTGGCACAAACCATAATGGTCAACTAATGATCAAGCACTGCAAAATTCTGCTCAAATCAGGTAGGGGAAAACAACTTAACAAAAGGTGAAGAATAGGAGACTCCACCTAATAACGGTGTCTAAACTAATGTTTATACTCGGCTTCCGTGAGACGTGGGGGTGAGTGATGATAAGAGAGATGAGATAGGGCAAAACTCTTTGGGAAATTTCGTCAAACACGTGGAGGTCGAGGTGGATATGGGGTTGTGGATTGTGGTTAGGGGTGGAGGCTAGTGCGAGAGAGCAAGAGGGAATGATAGTAGAAGAGGATGGAAGAGAGAAACACCTTATCACTAGCAACTGGTAGTCGCTGAGGGAGAGAAGCGTTGTCAGTGGTGTTTTGTTAATGGGTAGAGGCGTGGCGAGAGAGAGACTTGACTGGTCATCGCTACTCGCTAGATCTGTGGTGGTAGAGTCTCGGATAGGGGTGGATATGGTTGGGTTGGGAGAGAGATAGGAAGAAAATGAGCAGAAATAGGGTGAGTGTGAGACAGAGAGAAGGAGAAAAACCTGGTGTGGTCCTGGCGGTGATGGTTTGGCGTCAAGATAGAGGCTGTCTATGGGGAGAAGAGATATGGGAAGCGAATGCGCGAGAGAGAAAAACAGAGAGATAGATGGGAGCAGAGTGTTGAGCTAGAAGAGAGATGGATAGAGAGTGATGAAATATGGAGAGAGAGGGGGACTGGAGAGTAGGCCAGATACAGGGGAGGGCGGAGAGAATTATGGCGTGACAGAGGGTAGTTTAGAGTGAATGCGCATGAAAGGGGGTTCTGGGTAAGGAAAGTTTTGGGCAGGACAAAAAAATTGATAGTGAATTTAAGCCGTTGGATTGAAATAGACTAAATTTTGAGACGATCTGGGATGCTAAAAGCCTTGGAATAAACTTATGTCTTGGGGGATTTGAATTACCTTGTCCCTTGCATAACATCAAAAAATTGTCCAACACAAATATATACTAATGCTTGTCAACATGACAAAAAGGTTCCAAGAGCCAAGTTATTCTTGTTCAAATTTCAACGCATGACTTCTTTCTGGAGTTAGGTGTTTGGGCTCTGGCAGTTCTGATCATTGCCTTATATTGTCAACGCCTATTCTTGTCTTTATGCAGGTTGAAGTTGTCATTAGTTTACTTCCTCCTAGTTGCCACAAAATCATAGCAAATGCATGCATTGAGGTAGGCACACTTCCTCTACATTGTTTAGCAGGATCGGTATTTTGGCATTTAATTGTTTTGTAGGATTATGCTGCAAACAAAGTGATCATGATAGCGGAACCTTAAAAACTTCAGATAGCAGACTTTTGATTTTGTTTAGAATTTCTACTTTAATGAACATGCAGTCTAGTGACCAGGGGGCCCCTGACTGTATGTGTGAGTTTTCCTTTTGATTTTGAATAACAGAATTTCATTAGATGTGGTCTGGGTGTGCCTCCATTTGAATCATTTCTGTCAACTAGCTCCTGTTGCTTACAAGTGAGACCTAGCTACTTCAGATCATTAAGTTTGGTCCCAATATCAAGGGATGTCATCGGTACTGTCTTACCAATCACGTTAATTGTAGACTGCCTCTCCAATCAATCAGCCTGAAACCACATGATCCTATGTATGCATCAATATTATGAATCCTTTAAACACCTATGCAAAAGCGGATAAATCAAATGTGGGGAAAATTTATTTATTCTTTGGAAATCACAACGTAGGAGATATCAACCCACTTGATATCTTTTTTGCAGGCCAATCTCTCTATTGTTACTTTTATGAAATCTACACTTTTCTCCTCTTTGACACTTGCCAAGTATCAACAGAGAGTAATGTTGAAGTTGTCAACTGTTTGAAGGTTTCTTGAGCAATTTCTCATGAACTTATACCTCATGGTTCTCTTCAACACCACAAAAGTAAGAAATGGGAACAAATAGTCATGCTATGGGTTGCTTTGCCTTGTACTTGGAATAACTGAACTTGGTGTGTCAACACTTCACCTTGTACTCCTACATGGTGGTGAGCCTAACGTTGACTTCAGATTTCTCTAATTAAGGTCCAAGGTAGCAATATGAGATATGCAGAATGGTTTGCCCCTGTATTCTCTATTTACCAAATGAGTTGTTAGCGTCTCCAAGGAATAGTTTAGACCTCGTTGGCTTAGGATTTTGCTCAAATTTCTATGTACTGCTCTAAAGTGGAGTAATGTGATTGATTCATGCACATGATAATGAAGAGCAACTATTATTTAAGATGCATCTTTATTTCTCTTACTCTATCAAATAATCTATTTTTAAGAATTTTGGCAAAGTGATACGCTTCCTTCATGAGATGATCACTTGAAAGTGTAGTCTTATTTCCTTACCGAGAATGACTGAGTATGAAGCATACCATTACATATGTAGCTCAAAAGAATATGGTAAATGGATCTACACCTATGTGGTATACATCTCGAAATAATGTTTTATGGTGTAAAGTACATTGTCTTTTAATGAGGCAAGATGGGAATATGGAGAACTTGAAGTACTTTTAGGTTACTAGTAGTGGTCCATGCTCATCTGCTATCAAAGTAACAAGAGTTTGTAAGGTAAAATAAATATCCAATCATCAAGTATTCAACTTTTTTGTTCTAACTAAGAGCATGCCATACGTTGTTTCTAAATGCAGCTTAAGAAACATCTTATCACTGCTAGTTATGTGGATGATTCCATGTCAGAGCTAGATGAAGAGGCAAAAAGTGCTGGTATTACAATTCTTGGTGAGATGGGCTTGGACCCTGGAATAGGTAAATCTATTTTCTCAAGACTTATCTCCTTTTTATTCCTTTAGGAACGTTGCTGCCTATGAATTACTTCCTGAAAAATATGAACTAATTTGAGGAAGGCAATTCTTCTTGAACATCGTAATTCGTTACCTTTGCATGGGAAGAAGGCAATTCTTCTTCTTGAACATCATTAATTCTTGAACATCTTACCACTGCTAGTTCCTTAATGAGTGTTTTTTGTCCATAAAGGATGGCTAGTCCCACAAGTTTCTTTATAAAATTGGCACTTCACTTTTATTTGTGTGATCTCGCTACACCCCTAGTGCACTCCTCTACTCCTTCATCCCACTTTACATCTATGGCGGTCATCCCTGTTAACCTCTTATTCCGTATGGATAACAAATTGTAAATAACGAACACTGTCGTTCTTTGTTGTCTTTTTGTCACCAACCTCAAGTGAGTTTCAGTTTGCTATAGCCTATATCTTTTTATAGGCTAGTCCTTCTGTTTACTTGGGTTCAAGTTTAACTGTTATATTGCAGAACTGTTTAAGCTTTGCTGTCATAACTGCTTTAAGATTTGTTAGAGCAATCAAATTTCTGAATGAGTAACACAGTTGACCACCATCAGAAATACTACAATTTCCAAGAAAGAACAAGGGTGTTTAGTATGTAGATGTCAAACAATTTTCCGAACAGGGTGTCTACACCGTATATGGTTTCCTTGTCATCACTGACAAAAGAGAGAAAAAAATCTCCCCAGTCTATGTCATTGTTTTGAGTATATGTGTTCATCTTCCATTATGGGAGTGGATACCAAAACCAAGAAGCTGGAAATGGAATCTCTGGGCAACTTTATTATGTATTCATATTTTATTTCTTGGGGCTGTGTAAGCATTGATTGATTAATGATACCCATTCTATAATTCAGATCATATGATGGCAATGAAGATAATCAACCAAGCACATGCCCAAAAGGGGAGGATCAAATCTTTTGTTTCGTATTGCGGGGGTCTCCCATCCCCAGCAGATGCAAATAACCCATTAGCTTACAAATTCAGGTATACCTTAAACATTAAGATCTTGAACCTTTGGGAACTCATGCAGTATGAAGTCGATATTAATAATAAGGGTAAAGCATGTTTCATACACACATGTAAACACATATATATACTATGGGGAAACAAAATCCTTACCTTGATCTCCTAAGTAAGATAATCCAATGAGGCTTTTATGCGTGGAGGACTGAATACATAATTGGAAGTTCAAATAACAATGCCTTTTATGTTACACATATCTGGGATGCTATGATAAAATTCGCGGTTTAAAGTGTTCTGACCTTTCTACCATCATGAAAAATGATGTACTTCTGGTATTAAGTCCGGTTAAGACAAGTAAGGATTCATTTATGATTAACATTCTATGAGCAGTGGACCCAATAAATGATTGTTTCCCCTTTTTTATTTACTGTTGATAATACCAAAGACACTTTCTCATAATTTCCTGCCGTCTAGAGAAAATGTAACCATATCATTGTGGTCATCTCTTCGGTTCTGAATGATTCTGAGTTCCTTGGTATGCATGTTCATCATGGTCGTCATATCCCTGTGGGGACAGAATAAATAATAAATGTATATTTTATGGGCCAGACATTGTGTTGTCTCGTAGGCAATAGAATTCTTATTCATTATATGCTGTGATATTGTAGTGTTTTCTGTTTACTATTAGCTTTAAATCCTAGAGCAGCATGAAGGCGGATACCGGATTAATACAAGATTGTTTCAGTTGGAATCCAGCAGGAGCTATACGGGCTGGGAGAAATCCGGCAACTTACAGATATCATGGAGAAACCATACATGTTAACGGTGAGTTGTGGGGTACATTTATGTGAGTGTCTAGTATAATTGTTTTCATCATCTTTATCATAAATGCCTTCGACATGTTCATTAGATTTTTTGCATTTATCTTTATCACTCAAGGATTGCACAGAATAGCAATAATGCACTAGCTATTGGCATAAATGGTACAGGTACCTCCTACCACCTCCAGTTGGATGGTGCAAGGTTCAAGTCCAAGTTACGGGCATTTTTCTCCTTAAAAACTGTAATACCTATTTTTTATTTTATTTTTTCACATTGATTGTGCTATCTTGCAGGGGACTGTCTATATAACTCAGCCTCAAGACTTCGGATACCTGATCTTCTTGCTTTTGCATTGGAGTGTCTTCCAAATCGCAACTCGTTAGTTTATGGGAACCTGTATGGAATAGGTCACGAAGCAACAACCATTTTTCGTGGGACCCTCCGTTATGAAGGCGTGATATTTTTCTGTGCTTTATGCTATTTTATCTTGAGTCTTAGGTGGAATAACCTAACCACTGAGTAGATTAACATTAGTGTCAAAAATAAGGTTGCTCCAAGAAGGTTTTCTGTTGGAGCTTTGAAAAACAGAAACAAGCAATCAAAGCAGAAAAACAATTTTGCGGAAAATAACAAATGTAAAGAGGGTTGGGTATAGAGTCTTAGTATTTTTTGGTGGAGTTCTTTTCCAATTATGTACATTTATATCGTTCAATGAAATGAAAATGCTGTTTCTTAACCAAAAAAATAATAAATTATCATCTTGGATTTTGAAGGGATGATGAAAGTTGTGCAATCATATATTTTGTGCAGGTTTTGGTGAGATAATGGGGACGTTGGCAAGAATAGGGTTCTTCAATACTGAACCTCTTCCGATTCTTAAAAATAAGAAAAGGCCCACATATCAAACATTCCTACTTGAACTTCTGCAAATTGAAAGCAAGAACGTGTGTGAATCCATGATGGGAGAAGTGAACATCACAGAAAGGATTGTTGCACTCGGACTTTGCAAAGAGAGAGGAACTGCAATGAAGACGGCCAAAACGATCAGGTATGTTAAAATGGAATTATGGGTATTGCACTTACCGAGAAAAGACATTATGGGTAATTTTGCTGAAGATAAATTAATGCTGGAACTCAAGCCACGTATAATTTTTTCAAATCTCTTACTTTTTGCTGTAGATAATTTAGTGATGAAGTTGTTTGAATTCTTCTTTAAACTTGGATTAGATTTTTGGGATTTCATGAGCGGAGAGAAATACCTGTATCCTGCCAAACTGCATTTGATGTTACCTGCCTCCTCATGGAAGAAAGGTTAGCATACTCGGGAACAGAGCAGGTAAAGTTTCAAATTCGTGTGTTATCTGACAGCTGAAAACTACTTACATTTTCACTTAAGGCCTAATAAATCCATATAGAATATTTTGGATCAGTGTTATTTTCACTATTTTGCATCAGAAACTATTTCTTTCTTCTGATTTAATTGGGGGCAAAGAGAAAAGAATGAAGGGAAGAAAAATTGTTGTGATGACATTTTTTAAGGGTGTCAATATCCCCAGCTTTGTAGAGGCAAACTGTCATTTTTAGAAATTCAGTCCTACTTTGGGGAGAGAAATCATCTTATAATGCTGCAAGAGAAAATCATCCTGATTCTTCCGTTTCCTGAAAGCATTATATCAATGAAACTCAACTCAAATCAACTTAGCTAAAAAATTAAAATGTCATTTCGTTTTCACTAAAGCATTTAGCTTTTGGTGGAATCTCAAATGAAGCAATGGTGGGAAATCAAAATTGCTATGTTTCAGAATTTTAGGATGTTTTGGCTTAATGTTTTGGAATCAAAATAGCCAAAAAAAAAAAAAAATCTATTTTATTTTGTTTCCGAGACATTTTGAATTTTTTTGTTTCCAAGCTAAGCAAAACTATGTGTCGAAACGGATTTTTGATCCTTGAACTCAACAAAGCCTTTTGCTGATTATTTGGGGTTGGCTATAAGTTGTTTTTCTATTGTGCTCACATTTTCTATTAAATCTTAAGATTTCGTAAAGTTAATTTCGGTCTATGTTTATCCTCCACATTACTGTTGGTAGATTAAATAATAGGTCTGTCATAAACATGTGCAAATCACTCAAGTCGATTCTCTCTTCATTTATCTGCTGTCATGCTCCTTCTACTGTTTCACGATCATATTCATTCTTAATTATGTTTTATCTAGTTTTATCATTCATCTATCTTCACATATGTACTTCAATCACATTTAGTTTCTGAGCATGCTTTTTATTTGCGCAACATTTTGTACCCTAAAAGTATTGCTTGTCTAATAGCTATTATGGATATTTCATATAGAGTGGACACCAAATCCCCCCTCACCATTTACTAAGAGTAATAGATATTAGGTATACGCAGCACAGTGCAGGTCAAAGTCTTAATATATCCTATCCAACTGATGTGATTTATGGTCAGGATATGGTGCTTTTACACCATGAAGTGGAAGTAGATTTCCTTGATGGCCGAGCTATGGAAAACCATCGTGCTACTTTACTTGAATTTGGGAGGACTGAGAATGGGAAAAAAACCACTGCCATGGCTCTTACTGTTGGGATTCCAGCAGCCATTGGAGCTCTGGTATCTACTTATTTCTTCTTCTTCTTCTTTTTTTTTTTTGGAATGATCTCTTGTACTCTTTTGACGTTCATTTTCCATTGTTGCAGCTCTTACTTGCAAACAAGATCAAAACACGTGGTGTCTTAAGGCCTATTGATCCAGAAGTTTATTTGCCAGGTAACGTGGAGCAGTTCTTTGGTTAATCTGGAATTTTTTTTGTTAGACAATAGTTGATTAAAATCCATGATTTTCAAATTCGACTACCACCATGCCAATGGTGTAAATGTGCATGGGACACAAACTCCAAGTTTGTCCATGTCCAAACATGGCTTTCCCCAAGGAACATATATAAGGCGATCCATAGCCTAGCAAGCGATGAAAATCTGGGGGGCTGACATTCCATGAAATAATCTAACCTTGTGAATCAATAACATACCATTCTATTTCTACCTACCATTCCTCAAATGTATGCATCCGCAAATTTTGCTGTTTGCGGGGAGTACCTTGAAACTTCATTCAGAACATAAATTTGCGCTCTTCATTATCTGGTTGTGGTTTGCAGCACTGGATATATTGAAGGCTTATGGTTTCAAGATGCTGGAGAAAATTGAGTAACTTGGAAGTGCATTCCTTTCTATTTATTGCTGTACAGATGCAGGTGTCATGATATGCTTTGTAATGTCATATACTCGACAAGTAATTGATGGTTTTTATTAATTGTAATAAAGTTGTTGTTACGAGTGGGATTGGAGAGACAATTGCAAATCATAAAGACTCTGGAAAACAGGACTAATGTCATCACCACTGGTCAAGTCTCTTGTGACTCTGTATGCTAAAGCCGATGATACCAAAAAAAAAAATGCATGGATGCATGGGGACGAAGTTATGTTAAGCCAAATAAGATATTCCCACTAGCTTTGCTACACAAACCAAGGCATACGGGCTAGAGTCCACCTTTTACATCCACGAATTATCATGCAATGCAATTGACAAATATCAAACACATGGTTTGTATATATCTACTGTTGCCAATGGCATCTGAAAGCTGTCTCATTGGTTATGGAGACATCACAATCACAACAATGTATTCCTTCATTTCTACATTCCTGTTTGCAATATTGTAGTCCAAAACCCTATCCAGCTGGTCTATTTCAGCACTGTGGGCGGAGAATGAGAAAATTAGTTCAGGATACCATATAAATTCGTGGTATCACCTATATCTACCCTACTGGATGGAATACTCATGAAACGATCCATGAAACTAATTGGTGCTCCACCTCTTCCCAATCATGAACCTTAGTGACCAGGGGGTGTAGATTAATAGACTCTGCCTTGCACCAAGGATACGAATTCTCGTAATCGAAAAGTAGAACCCTTATTCCAATTTCAGCACACTCAAGGGCGTATCTTGGGTTATCATCTATCAGAACTTTTGCTCCCAAGATCCTGCCAGACACACAGTAGCATAACAAACCTCATCAAATGATAGGTATGGAATAATTATGTCTAGAGTTAACAACAGACTAGGTGCATCAACATCCTTATTCAATCACGCGGAGAGCAGACTCAAAAAAGCTGTGCACTTAAACAACCTACCTAGCTTCAGGTGTGCTTTTCTTACGAATTAGCAGTTCATAGGCATAATACCTGCAAATGTCTGATTTAGGTCTAGACTGTCCATCTAAAGCAAAGTGATTGCCAAAGTGAATCTCCTGAAAGAGTCCGGGATAATGCTTCTCAATCCACTCAATTGTGTGATCCTTGATTGCATTCTGCCGTGACCTATAGATGAATAGATTCAAATTGATCAAAAATCCATTGCTTGGGTTTAATAATATTTAAGCCAAAAACCTGTGTGACTGAGAATACATACGTCACTACGGACAAACTACAATATTTTGATAAGTTTTGAAGAGCCTGCTGAGCACCTGGAATTGGATGGATTCCCATCCTAAAATAAGATGTCTTAAAAAACTCATGAACACGGATGTCAGCTGTCACAATAAGAACAATATCATTATCATTCAACCAGTTATCAGACCCTGAGATGATATACATTGTGGCCTAATGATAGCTAAAGCAGAGCAGATGATGTAGTAACGGAGAGATATATTAACCTGCATATCATGACATCCATTGTTATACTTGAATTATGAAGTTTTTCAGATTCCCAAAGAGCAATTACAAGACAAGTTATTACAATACCAAATAATTTTTTATCACAATAAGACAAGTTATTCCCTGTAACATCCTTTTATTTAATGCAAACTTCATGGGTAATTGAATAGATTCTTTATTATCATATCCTGCAATGGAGATTCGGTAAAACTGTACTGGGTCTCAACTCAGGTATAGCCTCTAAACAGAAATCACAAGTAATCATCTTGACATTCTTCTTGAATAAACAGCATAGTAGAAACAGAAATATGTAATCAAAATAGTCAAAAGAAACAACAGTCATGTTAATATTTAAAGTTTCAAATATTCCGAGAGGTCGTCCAAATTTGGTAAGGTGAAAATGATTTGTTCATTAAGAGCGGATATGAATTTAGCTGTGACAAAATTCACACAAAGCAAACGAGAAATCTGGTAATACCTTCACCACGGGAACAGTTCCATATCTGTCGCAGAAATAAAAAGGTAATCAGACTACATACAATTAATGTGTTTCTGCTCAGTAATATAGGCAATTTGTTACACAGTTCAATTCATCATCCCGCCAACAGAAATAGCACCCTAATCTACAGTCAAAAAGATAGAGAACGCTCAAGAATCAATGTGTGCATGATTAGAATTTCACCATTGCAAAAGTCTTGAAGTTTAAAATATCTCAGAGAGCACGATAAGACACTCCAAGAAAGCATGCACCTCCCTAGCTGGATATAGGTTGTCATAAGTCTTCAAGCTCAGGCCATTGTAGATTTCAGTTGAGCCAAAGTGTTTTATTTGGCAGCATACAATAAAATTATATTTGATAAGACGCACACAAGCAAATGAAGATATGACTTGTAAAGATAAAGAATGTTAAACATTAAGGGGGATACTCATATGCTCATGACAATAAAACCTGAAACTGTAAGAAGTAGCATGCCTGAGGCACCCACATGCATAGGATAGCTGCCTTACATATGCCACCTATGATGATTGAAAATACTAGCCTAGGAACAACACCTATGATGATGAACACAAAATTCTTCACCTTTTCTACTTTAGAAATGTGCAATAAAGAAGTGTGTTAGCCAGTTTACCAGCTTTTTGAGTAACATTATACAAATTAGTTTACCCACCACTTATGATTCTTTGACACACAAACGAGCTAAAGCACAATATATTAAATAAAAAGATATTTTTTCAATAATAACATATATGTGTCAACCCCCCACCCCTAACAAAGATACGTGCATATATGTTATTATTTAAAAATGGAGAGGGAGACAGTCCAACACTGCCATTGGAGCCCAAAAGGTTATACATACCGTAACATTACTCTCTTCGCCAAAGGTTTCATGAGTTTCCACATAGGACACACTAATGCATTTCACATTGCATGACCACAGATGATAGGAAGTCCAGATATAAAACAAATCTAATTCGATATTGGGCCATAATTTTTAGTCTGGCAGCTCCTGCTGTTAGTTAGGTCGTATGTGCTTGGCCGCTAGGCCTCAGGCCAGCTATCACCAAAGACTTGGCACTTGCAAAAAGATCAAATAATAAAATCTTTCCTCATATTGGTCAATCTGAGATCTGTATTTTATTTTGACCGTAACATGCTGTTTTTTTTTTTTTTTTTAAAATGTGGCCAAATAAATACATACACTGATAGGCACACATAAGACGCATGGACATGGACACAGACACATCATGCAGCTGGCAGATAATGAAACCAACTCTATCCATAGTGGTCTTGGGGTAGAGCTTAACAACCAATACATTATGTTTTTTTCTGTTGGGAAAAATATTCCACTGATAAAAGGGAAAAACAGAAACACAAACCAACTATAATGCTGTATATTTTTCTCTGTTGGGCTTCGGTGCCGAAGGACTTTAGAAGAATCCTGCTTTTAGCTATCATATCGGATTGGAGTGCTTCATGCGATTTATAGGGTTTTTCTGTACTTTTTATTGGTTGGATTCCTTATCCAACTGTAGTGATCATGATTTTAAAATTTGTTTAATACAAGAAGTCATGTTTCCTATTAAAAAATAAAATAAAATCTGCTAGTTCATAATACCACAAGAAACTATTGAAGGAGAGAAAATAATACCTTGAAAAACTCATAGACATGATATTCAGAGAGTGAGTGATTCAACAAGTAACGATCGGCCATGAATTTATTCAGAGCTGACAGAAAGCTTCCTAGAACTGCATGCCAAAGAATAGAAAAAAGAAATATGCATGAGCAGGACAGTAACAGCTTTCTGCCTTGGATAGATAGGATGCAAGTATTCTCAAGTAATTGATAATGATCATTATATGACTGACTAATTTGACTGTTATTTCACAATCCAAAACAATGAAGTAACACGCGATTGGCAATCTGAGCAGAATATTAAAACTGAACATAGGCCATTTTGTGACGAAAACAGAATCCTAAATGTGGGTGCTTGTGCTTCTGATGTCAAACCACGAAACAGAAGAACTTTCCAATAAAGGGGGCAAATGTCAAAAACAGACTTTGCAAACTATTTGACCAGCCCAAAAAATGACTTTGATCCTTTTGCGGACATATTTAGTGGTGAGTCAATGGGTGGGGATGGGAATATAGAACATCATCAATCATATTAACCATAAGAGAAAGGCTATATCGACAATTCTTTTTTCGTTTCTACCGAAAGGGAAATAAGTACCCTCGTCGACATCAACAGCGACAACGATTTTGTCGAGCAGAGGATGGTCAGAGGGGAATCCAAGGGAGCTTCCCCTGTAGTATGCGCCACCATAAGGAGAAGGAGGAGGAGCACCACCACTAACACCATTGAACGATCTAGTATCGCGGTTATCTTCAAGCCCGATCTCCGAATCACGAAGTAAGTGAGACAGGCACGGAGTAGACGCCCGAGCCCTCCGCAGCGCACTGTTACCATTAATGTTGTTGTCAGGCCTTTCAAGACTGTCAAACGAACAAGCCTTCAGGCCCCAATTCATGCATCTTCCGACATTGGTAATTGAATCAGTCGATGACAAGGACGAAAGGTTTCCTGGATGAGATGGGTAAGTTGCATGAGGGTTAGAGGCAGGCTGAGCCTTGTAAATTGGCAATAGGAGGAACGGATCATTGTATTTGTTGCCAACGAGCAAAGAGAACGCGGCGGCCATTAAACCACTGCCACAACCACCCCTAAAACAAAAGCGGTGTTGGTGTCGGTGATGGTACGGTAATAATAATATTAGGGTCGATGACAATCGGAAGCTTTGCCTCTTTATCATTACCATAACGAGAAAAATCTCTCACACATCTACTTCCTTTCCAGAATTTCAAAAAAAAAAAAAGAAGTAATATATCTTTATGCCCTAAATTTCCAATTTGAAGAAAAAAAGTAAAAGGAAACCCACAATTAATGATCTGTGTATATGCATAGGATAGGAATGCCTCCACAACCTCCCTCTTCAACAAATTCAAAGAACGAACGCGAAATAGAGTGTAACAAATTGAAATGTATGCAAAAGAATGCCAGCTGTGTTTCCTCAATATTTCATCAAATGGAGTAAAATTACATCATTGGTCCCTAGTTTATCCCTTGGAAAACTTTGATCCCTAATATTCTAATTTCATCGATTTAACCCTCAAACTCCACGCATTTATCACTTGCATTTCATGTGGCTTCCTTTTATTATGGCTTTTATGTGAGTATGTGGCTTTACATGCAAATGACTGTTTTTTGATTCATTGAACATTTGAGTGGTTGTTTCTTGTAATTAATTTTTTTGAAAAAAAAAATGTGTCTTTATATGCTTTATTGTGGCTTTAGTTTTTTTTTTTTTTGTTTATGTCATCTCCTTATAGGGATTGAAGTATGGAATTTATGATATGTTTCCAAGAAATCTACACAACAATGTCAAAGCAATGTACAAGGATAAAAGACTTAGTTTGGCCTTGTGCAAGATCAACTTATGTCAACTTGTTTACAGAGAACATGCAAAAATGAGAAAATAAAGATGCTAAGGCAGTTGCATAGTTTGATGCAGTGTTTTAAAATCTAGCCTGACCCAATGGGTTAATTTGGTGAACCGACTATTAAACCAAACCAAGTAATGTATTATATCGTTTGCGTAGAAAATCCAGTCAAAACCCGCTAAATCGGGCGGTTCTTGTCAGACCCGTTGAACTGGACGATTTGTAATAAACTCGACAAGTCAATTAAAAAAGTATAAAAATCAAGTTTTTGGCCCTTTTGACATTTTTGCTCTAAACATAATTGGTCTTTGTGTTGTGCCACTCTCCCCCTCTCTAGTGTCCATGATGATTCTTAGGCCCCCCTCTCTCTATCTCTCCATCGAACAAATCAACCTCTCTTTCTCTTAGTCGAACTCGAACAAAGCATCCACTTTCTTAATCAAACGAATTAGCCTCTCTAAATCGAAGTGTCAAACGATTCAACCACCCTTTCTCTCTCTCTCTTAGTCAAACTATTCGTTCCTTTGAATTCGATGACGAGTATTATCAACTGATTGGTTGTGCTCATTTTCCTCCATAAAATATCCCTTAAGGGATTGGGACGTTGATGTTCTCCTCGCGGGAGATCGTTCTGGGTTGGTTGTGCCCTCTGGGGATGTTGGGTGTGGATAAGGTTTTTTTTTTGGTACATTGGAAAATAAATTCAAACATTAAACAGAATTCCTAGCAAAGACCACACTTGCCATATCTTTTAACAAAAGATTAGCCAACTGGGGAGAGGGATCCTCCAGATTAACAAAAGGATCTGATTGTTGGACGCCAATATTAGCCAACAGATCAGCACACTGATTGCCTTCCCTAAGGGTGTGGATTATGGGAATGTGGTTACTCTCCATAAGCCTTCTACATTGCATGATGACCTTCCTATTGGGGTGCGTGGCCTTCAAGTCATTGGCCAGCAACTTAGTAGCTTCGAGAGAGTCTGTTTCCACAGTGGTTTGGGTGATGCTTCTCTTTTGCACGAGCTCTAGGCCTTTGAGAATTGCCCATAATTCTGCCTACAAGCTTGTGATCTCCATCATTTTCCCAAAGAAGCTAGCAATCCATCTGCCTTGATCGTTTCTGATAACTCCACCAACACCTGTAGGTCTAGGATTTCCTTTTGAGCATCCATTTGTGTTCAGTTTGTACCAGCCTACATGGGGGAAAGACCAAGTAATTAGACTGGGAGAACAAATAGTAGGCTCATTTTGAACTTTCAAAAATGCCTTGATAGTGTCTAAGGCTAAAAGCCACATTTCCCTAGGCATGAGTCTAGCAAGTGTTTTAACACCTGCAATGCACTCCCTAATCTTATCCTTCCATATGCATCATGAGACACAAGCACACATGATGGGCCAGTTAATACCTTTCCAGTCCTTGTTCTTCCTTAGTTTAAAATTCAACAGGATCCAATTCTGTAGTCCCCTAAGTTGATTGGAATCCTCTCCTTGGGACAAGTTAAAAAAATCCCACACTTTTTGGGCTTTTAGGCACTCAAAAATCACATGTAAGGATGTTTCAACTGGGTAGTGACATCTAACACAAGAGGAATCACTAGCCATATTTCTTATTGCTCCAAGGTTATTAGTGAGAAGTCTGTCATGTTGTACCAACCATAAGAACTGGTTAATTTTTTGTGGGAGATTCAACTCCTAGATCCAATTCCAGTGCAGAGAATAGGGTCCACCCAAACTAGCTTGGGAAATAAGATCAAATGCAACCTTAGCAGAGAAGTTACCATTACTTGAGAGACCCCAACAGATCGTATCCTGAAACTCAGCAAATAGTGGACATGGAGATTGTAAAATTTCTAGAATAATAGATTGAGGAAAAAACATACCTACCTCCTGAAGGTTTTAGTTGCATTAGAGTCCATGAACTCAGCTACCTTTTTGTTGAGATTAAGAAGCTCAGGATGAGTAATAAGCTGCACAAGAGGGCTTTTCTCCCACCACCAGTCAGTCCAGAAATTAACATGTTTTCCATCCCCAATGAACCATTTTGAGCCCAAGTCAACAATTTTTTTAGTCTTACCAATTGCTTTCCAAGTTGGTGAGCAAGCAGTTTTGAAATTCTAGTTAAGGGTATCCTAATCAACATATTTACTGCTAACTACATCAACCCAGAGAGCTTTATCACTATTTTTCACTTTCTAACCCAGTTTAGTTAGCAGGGCTAAGTTATTCTCCCTACTTTTTCTCACACCTAACCCCCCATCCTTCCTGTGAGAGCACACCCTATTCCAAATAACAAGATGGACTCTCTTTTTGTCAGGTGTGGCACCCCGCAAAAAATTCCTATTGAGTTTATCAATCTGGTCACAAGTAGCTTGAGGCAGCTAGTTAGTTAGCATCACATTGTTCAAAATTGTTGAAGTGACTGCCTTAACGAGGGTGGTTCTACCAGCTAAGGAAATGGACTTGGCTTTCCACCCACTGAGTTTATTTTAAATTTTCTCAACAATAAATTTGAAGTGCTCTTTAGAAGGTCTTTTGTGCAAAATAGGGACACCTAGATATTTACCTAGGTCATCAATGAGGGAAATACCACATTTCTTGCTAAGGAAAATAGCATGGATTTTACTTAAATTAGAAGAGAGAAAAACCTTAGACTTATTCGAACTGATCTTTTGGCCAAACAACAAACAGAAATCTTCTAGCACATGTTTAATCATAAGACAGTCTTTTTCAGTGACTTTGAAAACAAGATAATATCATCAGCAAAAAATAAGTGTGTAATGTGAGGTCCCTTTCTTGAAGCTTTCACTCCACACCATTTGCCTTCGTGAACTTTCTCAAGGATTAATTGACCTAGTCGTTCCATACACAACACAAAGAGATAAGGGGATAGGGGATCCCCTTGTCTCAAGCCTCTTTTGGATTTAATCGAATTCAGGGGGGATCCATTCCAAAGAATGGAAAGAGAGGATCCTGTAACACAGCTCATTATGATGTCAATCCAAGATTTAGGGAAATTGAAGTCAAGAAAAGTATTATAAAGGAAATTCCAGTTAACTCTGTCGTAGGCTTTCTCTAATCAATTTTGATAACCATTCCCCCACACTTACCTTTTTTCCTCTTTAAAAAATGAATGATTTCTTGAGTAATAATAACATTATCAACAGTCTGCCTTCCTGGGATGAAACTACATTGGTTCGGGCTGATTAATTTATCCAAGAAGAGTCTGATTCTATTCACCAACAGTTTAGTCAGAATCTTGTAAGGAACATTACACAGACTAATAAGTATGAATTGGGTAACCTGTGTGGGATTGTCAATTTTAGGTATAAGAGTTACCCAGGTCTTGTTTAGCTTGCTTGGGCAATCTCTATTCACAATCATATCCTTGATAAGATTAAAACATAATCGCCAACAATGTCCTAGTAATTTTGAAAAAACAGGGTTTGGAGTCCATCCAGACCTGGAGCTTTCATAGGTTTCATACTAAAAATACCCTTCTTAATTTCATTATTTAACACTGGAGCTTCAAGGGCTTCCTTAGCCTCATTGCTCAAATTTCTTTGGAACCTGAAAGTCCTCTAGGGGTAAGGGCAAGTGGTTTCAATCCCAAATAGTTTATAGAAAAAATCTTGGACAGTTTTAGCTATCTCCTCCCTATTAGTTACCCAGATCCCTTCCGAGTTTTTGAGTGTCTGTGGTCTACCTTTTTTCCTTCTAGTAATGGTGGAAACATGAAAAAAGTTGATGTTTCTATCCCCACATGTAATCCATTTTGACCTTGATTTTTGATACCATAAAACCTCTTCTTGTTCTAGAATTTGGTTATAGTCATGTTGGAGATTCTCCTCTAATCTAGTCAAGTATTGGGAATAATGTGAATCCTGAGCTTTTTGAATTCCCTATAGCCTTGCTAAAATTCTTCTTTTTCTTCTAAACAGGTTTCCAAAAGAATTCCTATTCAATTCATTAGCAATATTCTTAAAATTAGTAGAAGCCTCTAAGAGAGAAAAGTTATTGGTTTTCTAGGTCCAAGCAACCAAGTCTTTAAAATCAAGGTGTGCCATCCACATAGCTTCCAGTCTAAAAGGTTTATTCAAAATAAAAGGAAGAGACATACCTTTCAATTGGATAAGCAACGAACAATGGTCTGAATAAGTTCTTGGAAGATTCCTCACGCTAGTCTCAGGAAACTGCACCATCCAATCCGAATTAACTAAGGTTTTGTCCAGCCTAACTTTAGTATTTGCAAGGCCTTTCCTTTTATTGTTCCAAGTGAGTTTGGGGCTGCTGCATCTCGGGTCAATGAGGCTGTAGTTGTTAATTATGTCTTTGAATTTTCTGATTTTGCTTGTATTGTTCACCTATCTTCTTCTTCTTTTTGAACTACTAGAAAAATCATTAAAATCCCCAGCCACCATTCACAAACTTCTATAGCTATCTCTAGTGCAGCTAAGGTCACCCCACAATTGGTCTCTACAAGTAA